GCAGGGGGCGGGGGCGGGGGAGGGGCGCCGGCTCGGCCCCAAGCAAACTTCGCCCAGAGCTCCTGGGGGGGCGGGGTGGGGGCGGCGGCCTCGGGAGCCGAGAGAGCTGGGGGGCCTCGAGGGAGGGGGGGCCAGGTGGGGGAGCCTGGAAAGCGGACACCAAAGGGGAAAGGCCAGCGGGTGGGGGGGGCGCGGACGTCTTTGTAGGGGCCCGAAGGCAGGGCGCGAGGGGCCTGGGGGTGCAGGGCGGCCGAGCCGGGAGCCAGAGTGGATGAGCGCCCCCCGGCTCAGGTAGGGCTGATAGAAGAGGGGGAAGGGACCCAAACTCTCCCGGAGCGGGGGTGGGGGAGGGGAGAGGATGGGGGGTGCTTCCCTCTCTGCGTCCCAAACAAAGTGTCACAAAGAGCTCGGCCGGCGGCAGCGGCGGAGGCGGCTGCAACTCAGCTTTTGTTCTCCCGGCCGGGGTAGCTGAGCCCTGGCCTCCCAATCTCCCAACCCTGCCCCCCATCATCCTTCTAGCTTATCTTCCCCGGGAGGGGACTGGGGTGCTGCTGGAAGAATCTCTTGTGCAGGATCACAGGTCCTGCCCTACTTGCCAACCTACTTCTGGGAGGGAGATTTTCCCAGAGGCTCTCCTGCCCACCCCCCACCCCCTAATCTGAGGACTGAGGCTCATATGGGTGCTAAGACTCTGACCTTTCTAGGGTCAGCTCCAGTTAAGGGGACTTAAGGCTGGTGCCGTGCCCCCTCCCCCAAATCAAGGTCCTCTAGAACTTTCAGAAGAGGGGTCAAGTTGGGACATGCCTGTGGAATAAGATCCACCATGGTGGGGTGGCAGTAGGTCAGCAGGTGTATCTTCCTCTTGTCTCCTGCTGCACATTTGGAGTCAGTGACTGAGGTGCCGTGCCCCCAAATCAGGACAGTGAGGATGGAGGGAAGGAGGCTTTACCAAGAACTCAGTGTAAAAGATGGACATGCTGTGATGTGGGGTCAGTTTAGAGGAACTCCCTGAGCAGTGAGGTTCAGAGGGCCATGGAGAGGAGACCATAAAAGTGAGCTACTGACATGTGCTTGTGATAAAAGTGGTCTTGACTCTAGACCACCTAAGAAGCCCCCTTTCTTTCTTACCTCATCTTGTGCAGCGTTAATCATAATTGGTAGCCGACTTCAGAGGTGTGGGATTCTCAACAGAGGGAAGAACATCAAGTATTAGAAATGACCAGTGACAGAGGCTTAGCCACAACTGTACCTCAGAAGTCCTGAATCCTTGCCCCTTACACTTTGACCCTAAAAACTTTTGAACCACAGGTTTGAGGGACAATCTTTGAGGTCCTTCAGGCAGCAGATGCTTCTGTGTACCCGTCCTTATTTCTAAGTCTTCTCACCAACCCTTCCAGCCCTCCCTAACGCAGTAAGGTTTGACGGTCCACATCCCCTTCCCTGCCAGCTTTTCTAGCACATAAAAATAATTGGCCAGTTGCTTTGGAACGATTTCCGATCCCTATCCCTGGCTCTGTATCCCTATAGGACCCAAAGAAGGACCAGATAACCCCTGATTCCCGGTGGGGGTGGAAAGTAGGTCATTACTACTGTCTGGCCAAGTCTCGTGGATGGTGTTTAGGGCCTAACTCTAGAAAACTCTGTGATTATTGCCCACAGGCAATACATGCATGCTGTGGGGTCCAAGCCAGTTCATAGATCTTGGACCCTGTCGGTGCTCTCTCCTACTGAAAACAAAACAAAACAAAACAAAACAAAACACTCATGGGATCAGGTGCCTGGGGCCTCCTTTGGTGTGGAGATGATTCAGGAGGTCTTGACTGGGCCTGGGAAGGTGTCTTAAGTGGGTTTTGTTGATTTGAGGCTACCCTCTAGGGAAACTTTCCCTACTTGGGAATTCAGCTTCAATTTAGGCCTCCTTGTATATCACTTTTTTTCATCCTGGAAAATGCTATGTGCAAAGTAGTTCTTTTGTTTTGTTTTGGCGGAGGAAGCTTTGCCCTGTTCCTACTCTACTAGCTTCATATGTGAGGTCAGCCTCCCGTGAGGTATTTTGCTTGCTGTCCTACAGACAGTTTTAGGGGCCCTAGAATCTTCTCAGAATCAGAATATGTGCCCATAGGTTAGTCAGCTATGACCATGCAGTATTCCCAGCCTCCCCCCTCCTCCCCCACCATCTGCTTCCTCTGAATATACCAGATTGGCTGTACACCAGGATGTTCCGGGAATCCCCAGGAGAGCAACAGAATGTGATGGACCCAAATACGATGCCTCAGTAACTCATTCCAGGATGTACAAACTGTAACTGTCAGGACACTCCTTATAGCTAATTAAAATTCTTCTAGTTACATCTATTTTCTATTACATTTATCTATTTTCAGTGACATCTAAAAGGCCAAAATAATCCCTCTGGTACCACAGTTCTCCCCCCCCCCCGTGGTTCCCAGATAGGAATTTAAAAAAAATCCTCCAGCTTTTCTCAGTGCTTTATCTGTGGTGCTAAAATGGCAAATGTGGCCCCTCTAGGACTTCTAGCTCTTTCTATGGTACCGAGGTGGCCAAAGTGGCTCCTCTGGTAGCCCACTGCACTCTCCATGGTACTGAAGGGATGACCATTTGTTTTTAACATCTCTCTGGGGTCCAGAAGAGTCCTGTGACTCAGAACCACAAATTTTCGAGCTGGAAGGGACCATCAATATAAATTAGTCCAACCTCCTTATTTTACAGATGAGTAAACTGGGAGGTTAAGTGATTTACTGAAGGTTGCAGGGCTATTAATAGACTAGGCCCACAATAGCCTTGCACTCCTTAGCCCTACTCTTTAATTCACCTTTCATGACACTACTCACAGAGCCTAGCTGGGCTCTTGGTCTCAGGAAAGGGGTTTGTTTGGAGGATCCAGAAGATGACAGTGGATGCCCTAATTTGGAGCTACAGAAATACAAATATTAAACGTGGTGGTGGAGGTTGTTTAGTGACCCTTGGATGAGGACACTTTGTCAATCAACCAACCTCCTGTTAATAAAATTCCCTTAACCCAGATTTCACATGTAACAGGTACCTGCCCCTTCATGGAGTCTTACCATATTCACATTCATTAAATGTCAAAAATTAAAGAAGCCTTGGACCTCCAGAGCCTTTTCTCTTCGCTGATAAACAGTGCTGACTCCTGGCACAGTTCTCTTCTGTTAAAGATCCTTAAGCAAAGTAATGCTTGAGTCCTTTTCTTTCTCAGTAACCCATTTCAGTTTCACAATGCCTATTGTAAGGAAGTTCTTTATATCTCAAATATTCTTTCTATCCCAGGCAAAAAAATAGGTTAGGCCCACATTCATCTAGTGTCGACCAGATACAATTCTAAATGTAAGCTAGGCTGGCTGACTTCTCCTCGGGCTCCCCAGGCCTATTTCCATGAATGTTAATTCTGGGGTTGCTTCTAAGTCCTAATGCTAACCTCTGCAGCTTAGAATCAGGAGAGCCCCCCCCCCCCCGCGCCCCGGGGCCCCGGGCCCCCGCCCCCCCCCCCCCCCCCCATTAGGCCCCCCCCCCCCCCCCGCCCCAATCTTCTCAGTGCTCTTCTCTTTCCTCAGAACTGGAGCTCTGCACATCCCAGGCCCAGGGAATTTCAGCCTGGAGAATTTTAACCCTTTCCTGCTCAGAGCATGTGCTGAGCCCCTATCTGTGCAGATGGCCCAGCCCCGCCCCCCGTCCCTCACTCCAGCCTCTTGAGCTCAGAGCCAGTGTAATCCTCCTCTTGTGTGAGGGAGCCTCTCCCCTGCAGAGAGGAGGAAAGCCTGCCTCGGAACAGCCCTGGACAAAGGGGCTGAGATGCCCCATCAAACTGCAGGCTCCAAGGTTTGAAACACGGGGATGAATCCTATCTGGTATTTGCAGTTTTTAACCCCTTCCCCAGGCCAGGAGCACCCCTTAACTTCCACTCCTCCCCCAACTCTCTCTTCATTCCCTCTCCCTCTGGCTCTCTCCCCCTTCATGCCCCTCCCCCTCTGTCTGTCTCCAGACTCTCTGCTGCTGGGAGGTGTTTCTCTCCCATGCATGAATGAGTCTCTGTAATGAATGGAAATGAATGGATCAGGAATCCAGGCGGAGGGAGGGAGAACGAGGGGGAAGAGACAGAAAGACAGGATAAGGGCAGAAGGAAGGACTGTGGAGTGTGAAAGGATGTTTGGCTGGCGGGTCAGTTAGGGGTCTGAGAGCAACTGGTCTCACTTGGACAACTGGGGAGCATGGCAGGCCCACCCCGTTTGCTCATTAAGCTGCACAGCCTAACTTAAACGAGAGAGGGGTATCCTGTGATGGTTTCTACCACCAGGGGGTGGTGGTGGTGATGATGGTGGTGGTTTTGGACTAGGCATTTAAAATGAAAAATTTGGGGGAAGACATCTGGGTTATCAGGGAGCCTGTGGGCTGGGCAAATCAAGGCGTACAAATTTTGAAGACGGCAGCCCCCTCCTGTCTCAGGGTGCAAGGAAGGGTAATGAAGGGACAGGTTGCAGGAGTAGGGGCTGCTAAGAGTATGGGGTTGGGGGTGCCTCTTTCCACTGCTGAAAACCAGGGCTCATCTTTCCCTCCAAACCTGTCTCTCTTGCTTTAGCTCTTCAGCACCTGTTGCCTTCACTAGCAGCTTTTCCTCCTCCTCTTCCCTGCACTCCCCAGAACCAAAGAATGTGAAGGGGGTCCATGGAGGTGAGTGAAGAAGCCCTGGCCTGAACCAACCAGCAAGTACTTAACAGTTATACTCCTTCCCCTCCCTACCTCTCTTAGAAGTTATGTCTGTGGCCCCAACAGCTCAATTCCCATTCATATCCCACTTCCCCAAGGTGAGTGGGAAGGGCACTCGGTGTTCCTGATCCAGGCCCCAACCCACCCTCCCTCGAGTTCTTCTGGCCTTCCACGCCCTTGCTTTCCCCACAGCTGTCCCTTCTCCATCCCTTGCTCTACTCAGGTCTTTCTCCACAGGGCTCACGTCCCCGCGCCCCGGGCGGCCACTTAGCGCCCTCGCCGCCCGCCTTCGACGGCGAACTGGATCTGCAGCGCTACTCCAACGGGCCAGGCGTGAGCGCCGGGTCTCCAGGGATGGGAGCGGTGGGCTGGTCCGAGAGTCGTGCAGGCGAAAGGCGCTTCCCCTGCCCTGTATGCGGGAAGCGCTTCCGCTTCAACTCTATCCTGGCTTTGCACCTGCGGGCGCACCCAGGCGCCCAGGCCTTCCAGTGCCCGCACTGCGGCCACCGTGCAGCGCAGCGTGCCCTGCTACGCTCGCATCTGCGCACGCACCAGCCCGAGCGCCCGCGTAGCCCCGCCGCACGCCTGTTGCTGGAGTTGGAGGAGCGCGCGCTCCTGCGCGAGGCCCGGCTGGGGAGAGCCCGAAGCTCAGGGGGCATGCAGTCCACCCCTGCCACTGAGGGCCTGGCGCGGTCCCAGGCTCCTTCGTCGTCCGCCTTCCGTTGCCCCTTCTGCAAAGGCAAGTTTCGCACCGCGGCGGAGCGCGAACGCCACCTGCACATCCTGCACAGGCCCTGGAAGTGCGGCCTGTGCAGTTTTGGCTCCAGCCAGGAGGAGGAGCTGCTGCATCACAGCCTGACGGCCCACGGAGCTCCTGAGCGCCCCCTGGCGGCCAGCTCGGCTGCACCCCAGCCTCAGCCTCCACCCCAACCTGAACCTAGATCAGTCCCAGAGTCTGAGCCGGAGCCTGAACGTGAGGCAGCCCCCGCCCCCGCTCCTGCCGCTCCCGAGGAGCCCCCCGCGCCCCCGGAGTTCCGCTGTCAAGTGTGTGGCCAGAGCTTTACGCAGTCCTGGTTTCTGAAGGGCCACATGCGCAAGCACAAGGCCTCCTTCGATCATGCGTGTCCCGTGTGTGGCCGCTGCTTCAAGGAGCCCTGGTTCCTTAAGAACCACATGAAGGTGCACGCCAGCAAGCTGGGCCCGCTGCGTGCCCCGGGGCCTGGTTCCGGGGCTGCCCGGGCCCCCCAGCCTCCTGACCTGGGCCTGCTGGCCTATGAGCCGCTGGGCCCCGCGCTTCTCTTGGCCCCGGCGCCCACTCCCGCTGAGCGCCGTGAGCCTCCGAGCCTCCTGGGCTATCTGAGCCTGCGAGCTGGCGAGGCCCGGCCCAATGGTGAGGGTGCCGAGCCTGGGGCTGGCCGCAGCTTCGGAAGCTTCCGCCCATTGCCCTCCGCTCTCCCGGCCCGGGCTCGCCGGCATCGCGCCGAAGAGCCAGAGGAGGAAGAGGAGGTGGTGGAGGCGGAGGAGGAGACCTGGGCCCGCAGCAGGGCGTTGGGCCCTCTGGCTTCACTGCACCCGCGCCCAGGCGAGGGGCCAGGGCACTCTGCGCCTGCTGCGGGGACCCAAGCAAGGTCCACCGCCACGCAGGGTATGTAAGGGGTCTTTTCCCTCCAAGGTTTCCACATTCTGGGCCCATCTGATGCCACCACTGCCCTCCTGTCCCCTCCTCTTTAAAAAGGACCTATCTCTTAATTCTCGATTTTTTTTTTTCCACCCCTGGAGGCTACTTTTCAAGGGCATAGCACAACTCACAACAAATCCAACCTCTCAGGTTCCCTCAAACATACTGTTTCCTTCTGGGGTCCTGAGGGGAAGCAATCCTAAGGGGTGGGTGTGGGGCGCATGGCCCTGATAGGGTTAGGGCAAAGGGCCTTTCTGACTTCCCTTAACGTGTGTGTTGCAGAAGAGAATGGGCTATTGGTTGGAGGGACCCGGCCTGAAGGGGGCCGGGGAGCCACAGGAAAGGATTGCCCCTTCTGTGGAAAATCTTTCCGCTCTGCGCATCACCTTAAAGTGCACCTGCGAGTGCACACAGGTGAGGGGGGCAGCCTCTGGGGTGCGGAGGGACCTGGAGGGCGGGAAGAGACATGAGAGAGCTACCGGAAACGCAGCCTTCAGATTGGCCAGTTGAGATGGGGGAATGCTGCTCTGTTGAATGAGACGGGGTGGGGGTGGCAGTGTGTTTTTCTGGTCCAGAGGCGCTTGTACAGAGAGCGAAATGCGGGTGGGGGCGGGCGGTGATCGTGCCTCTGTGACCCTGTCGCACCCCTTTCTCCAGGCGAGCGCCCCTACAAGTGTCCGCACTGCGACTACGCGGGCACCCAGTCCGGCTCGCTCAAGTATCACCTGCAGCGCCACCACCGAGAGCAGAGGAGCGGGGCGGGCCCCGGACCACCCCCGGAGCCGCCACCCCCTTCCCAGCGGGGTTCGGCACAGCAGGCACAGCAGTCGGGAGCCAAGCCGGCTCCGCAGCCTGCGACCTGGGTGGAGGGCGCGGCGAACCCCCGGCCTCCTTCGAGCGCGGCGCCGGGGTCCCGTCGGAAGCCCGCCAGTCCCGGGAGGACCCTGCGCAACGGGCGAGGCGGTGAGGCCGAACCCCTGGACCTGTCCCTGCGGGCGGGGCCGGGAGGCGAGGCTGGGCCGGGGGGTGCCCTCCACCGATGCCTCTTCTGCCCCTTCGCCACTGGAGCCCCTGAGCTCATGGCCTTGCACCTGCAAGTGCACCACAGCCGCAGGGCTCGGGGCCGCAGGCCGCCCCAGGCCGACGCGTCTCCGCCCTACGCCCCTGCACAATCGGGAGAGACCCCTCCCAGCCCTCCGCAGGAAGGGGAGGAGGGCCCCGGGCTGTCGAGATCGGGAGAGGCGGGGCTGGGGGGACAAGAACGGTAGGGAGCCCTCTTAGGGGCGGTTAGCTTAGTGAGCTCACCCCGCGGGAGCGGGGGAGCGCTAGAGGTAGTTGGGTAGAGCAGCCAGCAGGGGGCAGCGTGGGACCCATATCCCAGCCCCAGGCGGACCAGAGGTGGAGGGGGTGGAGGGCGTGGCGGGCGTAGGAGGGTGGGCGGGCGCTACCCACCCAGCCCAGGGGAGAGTCACAGTGCCTTAGAAGTGGCAGGGGTGAGGATCAAAGAACGGGGTCCCAGGGCTGGCAGAGGGTTGTGTCCCTGTTGAGGAGCCGCTCTGCCAGTCTTTGCTGGTCCATAGGCGTGAGAGTTTATTTTTGTACAATGGGTGGGGGTGGGGGGCACTGTACCCTTCTAGCCCCTTCAGGGGCCCTGTAGACGTCGCTATTTTTGGTACGATTCCTGTCATCCCTGTCGCAGAGTTGTGTCCCCAATAAACAGGTGTCTTGAGGCACAGGGCGCTGTGTCTGTCTGCCTATGTCCTGTCCTCCTTGGAGGTTTTGTCGGAAATACTTCTGCAGGCGCTTAGTGATCACCCAAAGAGCTTAACGAGGAATGAGAAATCTTGGGCTTTACCCCCAGACTTCGGCTTCTGTAGCTCTGGGGGTGGGGCCCAGGAATTAGCATTTAGCAAGCAGCCTAGGGGACTCTCACGCCCTGTGGTCTGAGGACCTCATCCTGAGAAGTGCTGGACGGTGCTGGATCCAGCTTGAGGGTGACCACCTCAGCCTCCGGAAGTGGGTGCAGCGGGACAGGAGGAACTTGGCAGAGTGCATTGAGCCTCCGAGAGCCACCGTGGAGGAGACACATTCTCCCGCACCCAGGCTCAGTTTGGGGCCAGGAAGGGGTACTGGGTGCCTTGAAGCCTTGGTTTTTATTTTCTGTGTTCCAGTTAATGGTTGGGTGAGGGGAAGTTCTCAAGGTGGCAGTGTCACTTCAACCCAGAGGTCTGCTGTAGCTCTTCCGACACAAAGTGTGAGTAAATACGTTTAATATAACAACAGTATTATAATAACAGTAATTACATGTATAAAGTTTGCAGTCCCCCCCCCATAATGGTTTGCATAGCTCCATTTCCTATGACACCCCAGAGAGGCGTCACCAGAACTACAGCTGACCTGGCAGAGATGAGTCTTCTCAGGAAGAGTCCGGGTAGCACCAGACGGAGGGGAGGACGCAGGCTGTTGGGGGAGGGCCGACACGGAGCAGTGTCCTGGGAGTAGGCAGTGGCCCGGGATGGGGAAGGACTGGATGAGGGATCATTTCTCCACCTCCAGGGTACGAAGGCAAGCAAGTGTGGCCACGCTGGTTCCTGTAGGAAGGCACCCGGCTGGAGAGAGCTAGGGACAGCAGCAGGGAAACACACTGGTCCTGCGACCTCCTCTCTGTCCAGGAAGCAGAGAGAAGGAATTCAGTGCTCTTCCAGTCCTCCACTATGTCCCACTGCCATCCTGGCCCAAAATGTGCTGACAGGAGGGACTGCAGCTAAGTTCTCCATCTTCTCTAGAAGCCAGGAGAGAAGAGGGAGATGGGTCGGGAGAGGGAAGAAGCTGACTTGCAAGCAGCTGGGGGAAGGAAGGCAGTTGATGCAAGAAGTTAGGAGTGTTGGATATAGTGGAGAGGGGGTACTGACTTACCCAGGTCACAGAGGAGTGGTGGGGTCACTCAGGGCTCGGGCATGACTCTGCAAGGAGATGAACTGCAGTGAACTTAAAGGGCAAGGAAATGTCCTCGTTCCTATATCCACCCCCCCCCAAGCCTGCCAATTCACCTCTCTCCTCCTCCCCCAAATTCCTCAATTTGGCGGATTTAATCCAAGTCCAGATGCTGTTGGCATTGCCCCCTTTCCATCCGCTCCTGCACTGTGTTCCTTATTAAAGACTCCTTTTCACTTCTGACCTTGCTGCCTCTCAGTCAGGTCTAGGGCGAGAGGACAAAGGCAGACTGGACAATATATCCAACCTATGGTCTTGCTGGGAGCACAGGCTCATTGGTTCTCCCTGCCCCCGTGGGTTGGAGGAGAATAGCCCACTCAGAAAGTGGCTGAAGAGATCACCCCACTGCTAGCCCTAGTATAGGGACTTACCTGCCGGGACAGCCCTAAGATCCCTCCACTGGCCAGAGTGGGAGTGCTGCTCCCAGGGTGGGGGGGTTGCAGGCTGGGGCTGTTTCTTGGTCCTGGGGACACATCTCCAGAAGAGTCAAGTGTTTCTGGGGCTGGAGGGGAAGCTAGGGTGAGAGCAGGGTATAGAACCCCTCTAGATTACCTTAAGCAACCAAGCTGCTCCATCGGGGAAGAAAAAGCTCCATAGCAACAGGAAGCTGTGAGTCACCATAGCAATCCAGTTGCAAGAGAACCCCCCTACCAAAGGCAGGAAATTGTCAGCAGCATCATTAGAGCAAACCAGGGAAGAAGCGACAGGAAACTATAAGGATTGCCGTGGTGAACCAGGAGGGTACAACAGGAAGCTGAGCAGTTTCCATAGAAACCCAAGGAGAGCTAGAGAGAGAGGTACAGAGGAAGTGCTTCTTAGCAACAGGCTGCTGTAAGCATTATCCTAGCAACCAGATGGACGGCTCTTTTAGCAATGGGGAAGCTGTACATAGTTGTCATGGCAACTGGGCTACTTGGCTAGAAAAAGGAATTGCTTAGCAGCAAGCAGCCTGAACATCACCACGATGACCCAGCTGTTGGGAGCCACCCCTTGAGAGGTGCCTCACCCAGGGAAATTTGCTTGACGTCCAGATCCCAGGCCTCCTCCTCGACGCGGGCAGGCAGGGAGCAGGCTCCCGGTGAGAGGCCGGGAAGGGAAGGGCCGGCATGCTCAAAGGATGACACGGCCACAGAAGCCCGGGTGCGGGCGGCTGCAGAGAGGGGGCGGGGTGGGGTGGGGTGCTGGTGTGGGAAAGCCCTCCTGGCTCTCTGAAATGACCCTCAGTCTTGCAGAGGGCCTCCCAGTCAGTCCCACAATTTCTGGGAAGACATGTCCACTCATTACCCTTCCTCACTTTTCCACCATGCCTCCCCACTATGCCCTCACTCTCAAGGTCTTGACTCCTGGGGGCCGCCCCCCCAGCACTGTGGCCCTCACCTCTTCCAGTGAGCAAGGCACTCAGTGTCCGCTCCCCAAGGGCTTTGATGTCCAGGAAGGGTTTATTCCCAATGCCCATGGAGACCATCTGCTGCACTCGGAGCTCTAGGGAACAGAGACCCTGTTACCAACCTCCTCCAGCCACCCCCCTTTGCTCCAAGCACTATCATGGTGGACTCTTCTGCTTCTTGCCATTTCTCATTCATCTGGTATCTCCTGTTACTCTTGCTCCAACTGTCACAACTTGGATGGTGATGGTGGGCCTTGACTACCTCCTCAGACAGCTGTCTCTTGTCTCCTACATGTTGCATCCTGCCCATTTGTCATCCCAGCCACCTAACTTCTAATACTCACCTTCTGCCCTTTATCTTGGGCATTAAGAGCAAAGCCCTCATTTTTACACACCTTTATAGTTTATCAAGTGCTTCGATAGAAAATCACCTTATTTCATCGTCCCTATCACACGAAGCTGTCACTTTCCTTTTTTCAGATGAGTGGAATGGGGTTCAGAGAATTAAAAACAAAAACCCATCCCCCAAAAAATCCCAGAACAAAACACACAGAAACACTAGTCCAGGTCACACAGCAAGTAAATTCTGGAACCCGGGTCCAGTGAGCACTCCCTCACCCTCTTTTGCCCTGCCATTTGCTCTTGCTTTTCTGAAATGGGTAGCTTCCTCTTTCCTTTTGGTATACCTTAGACTAATTTCTATGCCAGCAATCTCTCTCCAGTCAGATCCGGAATCATCTCCTAAGTCATTCCTTCTCCATCCCACACCCTGTTTTCCCAAATGGTCTCCACATGCTCCGACTAACCTCCTCCCGTAACCTGGACCTTAAGCCCACCCCCCTCCCCCCGGCTCTGCCTGGTACCCTTGTTGTGAGCTGCCTGTCTCCACAGCAGCTGGGCAACAGAACTGGTCCACTTGAGCTTGATCTCTGGCGAGGCTGCCTGCAGTGTGTACGCTTCTCGAGTACGCCGCCGCCGGAACCACAACTCAAAGCAGAGTCCACTGTCCCCGATGTTTTCTGTTAGCCCCATGTCAGCAGTCTGAGAAAGAGCGGAGGAGAGTGGGTGAAGACAGAGTGAGGCTTGGCTAGATGGTACCACATGGAAAAGCACTACACTTAGCTTGGCATCTGGTAGATGTTCAGTAAATGTTTGCTCAACACCTACCATATGCCAAGTGTTCTACATTTAGTCTTCATAACAACCATAATTTACAGAAGGGGAATGCCCAGAGACACGAAGCAACTTGCCCAGGGGCTTATCATAGCTGAATAGAGAGAGAGGGTTCAAATCCATGTCTACATTATTCCAAACCTAGGTTTTTTTCTCTATACTGTACTCCCCGTCCCCCGCCTCCCCCCCATAGCTGGAATGAATGTAGGGAGACAAAGTTTAGAAACCCTTAGGGGATGCCTGGGTGGCTCAGTCGGTTAAACGTCTGCCTTCGGCTCAGGTCATGATCCAGGGGTCCTGGGATAGAGCCCCACATCCAGCTCCTTGCTCAGCGGGGACCCTGCTTCTCTCTCTGCCTGCCGCTCCCCCTGCTTGTGCTCTCTCTCTCTGTCAAATACATAAATAAAATCTTAAAAAAAAGAAAGAAAGAAACCCTTAGAATCACGCCATACTGCCTGATCTAGGACTATAGGTCTCTCTCTCTCTCTTTTTTAAGGTTTTATTTTTAAAGTGATCTCTACACCCAACGTGGGGCTCAAGCTCACAACCCAAGATCAAGACTCAGACACAACCAACTGAGCCAGCCAGGTGCCCTGAGGACTATAGGTCTCTACTGATGTTTATCTGGATACCAAAGCGGTTTCCCTGAAGCAAGGCCTCCCTCCTCTCGTGTTCGGTTCCATTGTTTCCATCAACTTAAGCTATTAGATAGATAGATAGATAGATAGACAGATAGATAGAGTCCTTTCTCGTCACCCCCAGGGACCACCCCTAATTCAAAAAGCATATATTCTTAATGGGAAAGGTCCTCAATTCTGGCTTGGAATGCCTTGTGAGTATCCCACATGAATGATAGGGAAAATCCCAATGACAATGACAGGAATTTCCATCACCTCTGACATCCTAACCTGATAGTTGATTAAGGTCAAAACCTGTTCTAGATGATTCAGATTCTGAACCTGGGTGTTTGGAGTTGAATTTCCAGAACATCTTGAGTTCTCAAGAAGAGCATGACTTCCTGTTCCGTCCCTGCCCCCATCCCCCCAATCCCAGCATTGTACCTTAAAGGCCTGCTTGTAAACAAAGGTTTCTGAGCCCCCCTCAGGGCCCTTGAGCTTGCTGAACAGGAGGAGATGCTCAAAGAGAAAGACATGCCGAAGGCACTTCTTTCGGCCACAGATGACGGTGAAGGGATCCCGGTGTAGGAGCTGACCCTGCTCCTTCAGATCTGTCTGGGGAAAGGAAAAGGAAAGATAATTGGTCCTCAAGCCCTTTGGGTATATTTTATGGGGAGTAAAAATGGGATTTATAGGGCAAGGGGCCAACTCTACTGGTTCTCAGGCTGAGTCCGGAAATCAGGGAAGGCCTCAGCCGAGAATCCATCCACCAGTCACCATGCACAGCACACCTGGCCTAGCCACGTAGTCCTGCCTCTCCAGGGAGAAGGCACCCTGCACGGTGGGGTTTATTGCCTCCCATGGGGAAGTCTGTAGACGTTGGAGATCAAGCACCATTCTGACCCAGGAAGAGAATGAGCAAAGAGCCGAAGGGGAAAGAGGTCTATCAGAGGAGGTAGCTTTCCCACCTGTTCTGGACCTTTTGGGTTAGAAAGAGACTAGGTAAGGGAGAATAAGGAATGTGTTGGGCGGCGAGGTGCCTGAGGAAGTGCGGAGGAGATAGGGAAGGAGAAACACTGGGAATAGAAGAGGAAAGCACAGGCAGAGGTAGGATCATGGGATGTTGGGCAGGACATAGCTTCTTTACTTATAGATGAGGACACTGAGGCCCAGGGAAGTTCAGTGACTTGACCAAGGCCATCTAGCTGATTGGAAATTAGAGCTGGGTCCTCTGATTCTGAGTCTGGTTTCTAAAGCCACAGGGCTGGACAATTTGAACTGGAGTGACGAGCCATGGCCTCACCTCGCAGCCACGCACAGCCTCCACGGCCAGCAGGTCTCTGCCACGGGCCTCCTGTTCCCGGAGCAGCTGCACGGCAGCCCCAAGAGCCTGGCGCTCAGAACTCAGCTCAGGCCCAGCTTCCCTTAGGAGCTCCTCCAGGAGCCGCCCATACCGAGCTAGCTGCTCCAGGGGCTGCTGCAAGGCCCGGGGCAGGGGGGGGCCACTCTCCGCTGAGCCCTGGTTGGGGAGAAGACAGACAGGGATGAGGGGAGGGGCTGGAGCTAGCGGGGGCTGAGCTCTGTCGGGGAGGCGGATGGTATTCCAGGCTTTTGGGGGGTAGAGGAAGCCCAGAGACTGCTGAAGGTAAGGTGGAACTTTCCCCAGAAAGAAAGCAGATAGGAGGTCTGCAAGAGATTCTACCAGCCTCTGAATCTTGAAGGAGAGGGATACAAATAATCCCTTATAGTCTCTGGCTTTTAAC